GTTAATTATAACCGATTTTGTGCAGTAATGATGTTCAAGTTGCAATTTTATAGGTAATCCAGGGAATGAAAAATTCTATTCACATTTTGGAATGGCTGTTCTGAAAAAGATTTTCACAGTTACTCCATTATATAACGAACATGCAATCTTCTGCACAGTATCCCATTTAAATCATGTTCCTATACCGCATGGATTTTCATCAGGATGCACTTACAGCTGCTCGGGTATTTCTTTAGGATGGTTTGATGATTAAGTTTTTGTAATAAATAAATTTTCAATGTAATATAATAGACAAATATTTTTTCTGTTGGGTACATACCTTCATTATCCGGTTTGGTCTTATTGTTATTCACGAATAGATTTAGATTTCTATTGCAGTCATTTCTTAATTGTTGTTCTGCAGCATTTTATGAAAATTTTGGACATCTGCTTGTTATAAATTACTATAGACCATATCTAAATTTGGAAAACCAGATTTTATTTTGTTTATTTTTACGAAAAAAGAAACTAAATCATAAATACTTTTTCTATATGGAGGAGATGCAATTTCTAAATTGGTTTTCCACTTTCCTTTTAGATCGTTACACACTGGCGGATCAGATTCAGCATAAGCTTGATTTTTGTCTTCAGTATCTAACTAGCAAGGTCAAAATTATTCTTGTAGGGCATTCTATTGGCTCGTACGTGATATTGAGGTATTTGATATTTTGAGGATCCTTACTACTAATTCTTCGTTTTGAATTTTTTTACTTACATTATTTCAACCCAAATATCTTTAACGATTTTCTAAAAAAAGCCAATAAATAGCTCGATTTTTTAATGTTCAAAAATATTTAGTTATTCGTTGGCTTTGCGTACATGTAGAATTTTAATTAAAGAATTCCAATTACAGGATATTGCCGGACTTGCTGAAACAGGGATTCAATATTGTTCGTTGTATAGCATTATTCCCTACAATTGAAAATATGGCAGACTCTCCAAATGGCAGACTTTATTCACCTTGGATCGAGGTCTTATCACAAATATTTTTTAATGTATTTGAAGCTAGGAGACAAAGATATATATA